GAGCATATCAGTCTCCAGTGATTCAATAATACCAACCTTCTTGCTAACCGTAGACCATTATAATAAATCACATTACATTAATCAAAGACTAAACGTGTAATCGTATTCTTATTCATCGGATCTGAGGATGTCAAAACTTTATGTAACTGGTTCCCTTCATTAGTTTGAACAAGCCAATAACGAACATATATGCAGGATAATATGAGCTCGTTTTATTTTGTGGATTCTCTTCAAGTGCATACATCCTAAAGAAAGTCAAATATATAAGTTTCAAAACTTCTGATCATATTTTTTTTCATCGTGACTTCGAGTTTTAGATAGAGAACATAAGCAACATAATTCCAAAAATGATATAAGTTGACAAATTATTCAGTGTTAAAAGAATAACTATTTGTAGCATAATTAGACAAAGGGAGGCGTAGAGTTTAGATTTCGCTTGGAAACAAGGATTAACTAGAGACAAAATATGGGGTCAAACAATTGAGTCAATTTACACATAATATGATGGAGAGTTCAAAAGGGTGAGAATGAATATCAAACTAAAATTATGAAATAGACAAATCAATTAAGTAGCTTCGCAAAAAATGAATAATGAGTACAATTCAGTAATTGGAAATCAAAATCAAATGGAATGTTACACAACAGAAGAAAACACAAAAGTACACGAACAATACAGTTAAGGTCACCAAGGTAGTGAGGGATCAGTCACTGTATCTTTCTGTACTTAGGGGTTGGATCGAAGTCTTTTGAAAGGGTTGGTAATTTAGATTAAGGTTTATTCTTAAACTACTATCGCTGATAAGCTTTTCACCCTTGAAAGTGCTGTTATGTTAGTAAAGAGTCAGTGAGGCAAAAGAACGCACTAAATTATTTCAAATACACTTTTTCGTGAATACGTACTAAACACTACATAGAAAGTATGTTAAAGGGGAATTTAGATTTAAGGGTGACAAAATTATCTGAACAATCTCGCTACCAGTATTATTATGTATCTTGAAATTAGAGTGAGAATCCCTCTGATTTTTTCCATTTCTTTGCATTCCCAGTAAAAATCTGGGCTTCAGGCTACAGCTTTGACGTTTCGTCAGCAGCAGTGTTTATTTTTACGCGGTAGGGTTGCTAGCCTCATGCCCAATCTTCCTTCTTTACCAGTTTTATTACTGGCTTTGCGAGGTTTGGAAGTGCGCCGGACGGTGATCGAGCCTTGAACCACCTGCGTAACTGGCGAGCATTCTACCACTGTGCCACCGACGCACTCTCTAAAAGTCGATAAATTTATTCTATAATTTTGCTTGGATTTAACCACACTTCTGAAGAAACAGATCGATTTGTGAATAGCAATAATGCCTAGTGATACTCATTCGTGCATAGCACATAAATGACATTTTGTGACTGTGATCTTTGTCACATTTATATTAAATGCATGGATCATTAATTCATGTTTTTTTTAATAGAATTAAAATTCACGTGACTACTCGACCAATCAAAAGCAATTATTCTAGGTAGAAACATTTGAAAATGTCTTTACACAAAAGTTGACTTTGGTTCTAAGAAAAAAATAATAATAAATAGTTTCACATTCTAAAATACTTCGCTCCTAGTCAGACAAACTAGTCCGTGACAAAAACACAAATTCTGCAAAATACACATCAGTCTCTCGATTTACATCCCAGTTTCTCTTGTCAGTGACCCAAGAAATAAACTGTCACTATCTGTATTCTCCTGAAATAATATTTTTAAAACACACAATCTACACTTAATAGATTTCATTACTACTAGGCAGTGAAACAATCAGAGTTTTAAAATGAATAAATCAGTCATCAAAAATGCTGATATGTCGAGTCAAATGCAGAGACACGCTCTAACAATTGGCACTGAATCGGTACGGAAATTTGAATTAGAAAAGGATATAGCCGACCATTTGAAGAAGGAATTTGACACGAAGTATGGACCTACATGGCATTGCATAGTTGGCAAAAATTTTGGAAGGTAAGTTATCTTATAAGGGCTTGAAATTTTATTGCTTAACTGAGCTATGCATTTGTGATATATAATTTCAAATATTTAATTCCTAATGTTAAAATTTAAAGCATAGTATTCTTAAATTGTATGAGATTGTTGAATGATCACATCTAAATGCCAAGTAGTCAAACCCTTGTTGTTAGTAAGATCGGTTTCGATATGCTTCATATGCGGATATGAGTTCACAAAGTTGACAAATATTGATTTCCAAATATTAAACCTAGAAAAGAAGCATTCGATGATAATTTTTACAAAACAATTTCGATGAAATGAACAGACGACTTCCCACTGACCAGTAGATCGCTATTTAGTGTTTTGTCATTCAGCCCTATTTCAGTGTGGTCGGGAACTCTCAAACTAGCTAAGAGGAAATAAAAGCCCGCTTAATTTGCTGACTGAACGCTTTTTTAATGCACTGATGACATCCTGTTTTATTTTAACGTATCCGGAAGGTCCTGGTTTCCTGATTTTTTCCTGAGAAATTTACAGCCGCATCACATGCTTAAGTCATTTTCAATAATTTCTATGATTATCATGCGCTCATCAGGAATGTTTCTTAGCATTAGCGAAAAAAGGTGGACTGCATTATATCACTGGGCTACCGTAGTTACTTTCCAACAAAATGCCTAATTTCATATGGACTTATCGTCGTTTTAATGGTTCAGTTTTATTAAATGACCTATACATGAACATCCGCGCTGATTTAACTTGCTTCCAAGTAAATGCTGTGCATTTCTTCAACGAAATGAAGATGTACTTGAGATTATTACTTTACCTGTAAATCTTGTATGAAGCAAAGAGTATTTTGTAACTAAATACGCTGAAAAGTGTTGTACCATATGTTCGCATATTGTCTCAAAACTTGATTATTACAAAACTGGAAAAAACTGGGTGTTCACCACCTGCATCACTTTCTGGTAATTTGTAATAATTGAAGAAATCTCTTCTCTTTTGAATTCATGAATACACCATCCCAGTATTGGAATGATACGAGATCTATCCACTCCAATAACATAATCACTGTAAAACATCATAATCTGTAGTATGAGATATAATTGTAACTGTTGTTTAAGATAACGGTTATTAATGTAACTGCTAGTAAGTAGTAGCCTGTAGAATATTTATTCTATGTTGCTTTATCTTAACACTGACAAACTTCGACTTACGTTTTGGCATAGATTTTTGATACCATTATATTTATTATGTCAGCTTTGTGAGTATTAATTTGAAGATGTAGAATGCTTCATGAATTTATCATGTGCTTACTTCAGGCTACTGTTGAAACAACTATTTCAATTGTTGTTTATCAGTGCTTTCTTAATTCAATGCCATGCTAACCGTTTGTACTGCAAAAGAACTCTGATGTATGGTAAAATACCCAGATGATGACTCCCTAAATTCTTATTGTTATCAGTCTGATTCACTTCCACATTGAAAATGTTTCTTAAGATCAAGAAATTCCACACAGACCTTGTGGAATAGACAATCTTTTTCCAGTCACACCATTTAACTAGTAAGTATACTCATGATACACATAAATAAGCAACAGTTTACGTTGCATAAAGCTTTAAATGACTGCCAAATGAAACTCTGAAAAGATAAATAATATTGAAACTGATTTGGAAATTGGTCACTAAAAAATTAGAGTAACAGCTGACACTTCATCAAAGATCCATCTAAATTTAGATATGAGGGTTTGGGCAGGACGTTTACATCTTGCAAAGAGGCTGTCATCACAAACAACAGTCAGCTAGAAACTTATTGTAAATTAAAACCTACTGAACAACGGATTCTTAAAATATCTGCAGGAGAAACTGAAGTTACTATTTCTAGTGCACATTCCAATTAATGACAGTTTGCAAACTGTTATATATATATATATATAGTGTAAACCTATTGAGATTCACTTATTTCATATCAAAGTGCACGAAAATGTCATGTAATTTAAGTTACTGAGGTTGTGTTACTCTGCACCTTCTACTGACTAATATGTATGTATTTATATGTACATAAAATCCAGTTCTATAGATTTCATCAGTGAAAAACAGCTCAGTGACGGACAGTACACACTAGACTTTAAAAACAGAAAGTCTCGTAAAAATATCCTTATGAATACCATCAAACATTAGGATATGTGTATGAGTTTCCTACTATTTTATTTTTAACGTTAAACACGATTAGAGATTACATTCCTACTGGTTACATGTCGATGAAACTACTGTGTATGAGACCGACAGCCGCACTTTAAGCTGCCGGTTATTCAATAGCACTATTTTAAAAATGCACAACTCAAAGTGACCTTATCAGGTCCCCATATTTTCATCAATGTCGAGATGATTTCGTAAGATAATTATAACAACGCCTAATGAAAATATATCAGCCATTGTTAGATATTTAAAAATATCGATCAGAAAGAGCATGCAAACATACTGACTGTTATTCGAAGGCTAATTATAATAAATTAACCAGGCAAATTCGAGCTAGCAGTGTAAGCTGTAAAATCCTAATGAAATTGTTCTCTTTTTCTTCGATACGACCACATTCATCTTCTTGGTGTACACTGGAGCAATTTAACTTCATTTAATCTTTATTAGTTGTGTGAAAAATTGTTAAATGTATGTGAATTGCCCCTTTTGATCTATTAATTAAAGTCAACACCTCTAGAACTTTAAGTTAATCATTAAGGTGATTTACTATATCAGTAAGACTATTTATTCTGTGAAAAAATGTATGGATGTCAACTAACTGCAGCATAGTGAATCTGAATTCAACGAAGAAAATTTTCTTTATGGGAAAAATCATCTTTAGAAGCTGTACAGTTGTATTTATATTTACCAAAAATGTAAAGTAGTCCACTGTTCAGTAGTAAGGGTTATATAATTGATATGACTACTCAGAAGTGGCTTTAAAACTAAAAATAACAGTTGTAAATTGTGTAGTACTTAAAATCACAAGGGAAGAAAGGGTTAGAAATTTGATAAGGTGAAAATTGTTATTCAATGAGAAGGAAGGTACTTCAGTCTCCATTTAACAAGTGTGAAGAGGATGGGAAAACATACAAAAGGAACATGTGACAGTGGTAACAGTGGATTAATTATTAACGTAAAAGCAAACTAAAAAAAACTAAAAAAATTACAGGGAACGACAAATGAATAGGTTAAGACCATGGTAGAATAAGAGACTGGACAAACTTCTTCTGTATACAGAATTCGTGGTTTTATTGACGAATTACCAACGCCTCAAATTTCTAATGCTTTCTTCTTTTGTGACATTGAGTATTACGTAATTTACAACTTTTATTTTTACTTCTGAAGCCACTTCTGAGTAATTATGTCAATTGTGTCACCCCTGTTATTCAACAATGGACTAATATACATTTTTGGTAAATATAAATACTACTGTAAAGTCTCTGAAGATGATTTGGTCGATAAAGAAATTTTTTTGATGAACTGTCTTTCAGTTTCTTCATGGCTCAATAGGTATTTTCTGTGATTTTAGTCTGAATTAATTAATAGAATGTTAGTTACAATCAGCTTCAAATGAGAGGATTGTCAACTATTGATATGCATAAATCAGTATCATGATAGACATAAATGTGCATCACATGCACTTGAAACTGACTCAAAACAACTCTCCATGCTATACAGTCGTTATTTAAAACCTTAAAAACCCAATAAAAATGTGCCTGATTGATTTATGAATGTTGCTGAGACGTAACGGTTGCATGTATGCTTTATTGATGAGCCATAAGTGAAAGAATTTCTGTCAACTAATTTCTAGGGAAAATACTTGAGTTTTGGTATTGCTTTTTGACCTTATTACGGCATATTCTTTTAGTCACACTAACAATCTAAGCTTATTTTTAATGTTATTTAATTTACTCAAGCTTTATACTCATATATTGAACAGCTTTGCTTATTGCAATAAAGAATATCAACAGAGTTATGGCGAATGGATGCCATCTTTTACATCGACTTCACCAAAACTAACCAGTTTTGTAGCTCTTATTTAACTGTCTGAAATCTACATTTATCTTTGTTACAGTGCATTCACAAACAGAGTTTCATTTGAAAATATAGTATTAGTTAGGATGATCAGTGATCAGTAAAACACCGTAAGCAGATTAAGATAACGTTAGTCGGGTTCAGTGAAAAATAAATCGTCTCGATGACAAAAATCCCCATAGTCAAGTACAGCGGCTTAGCATAAAGTAGATGGTCAATTACAGAAACATCTAGAGACTTCATACCTCACGATCTCACATTTCACTTATAAAATCTTTCTAAGACGCCTAACAATCATATGCAGGAAGGTATTTTTATTTTTCAAACAAACTATGATAAGCGGCATGTAAATTCTGTAACTACAGCTAAGCATAAACACCAAACTTATAAGCGGCAATCTAGATTCAGGGAAATCTCTTTATTCACTCAATAATAAACAGAATCTCTGTGGAATTAATTTTCAGAAAAAAAAGCTGTGAGAAAGTATAATTTTGAAAAAAATCTAACTTTATATTTGGAAATGTTTACTACATATATGAAAGATGGGAAAGCAAACCTTGAAACCACAGAACTCAAAGTTCCAGAGTAATATTCCATATCATTATGAACAATAAACTGTGTACGAAACAGCCACCAGTAAATAATACTACTTCCCTGTATGAACAATAATAACAAGCAAATTAATATGGAACCGAATCCTACCACAGATAAATTACACATACATTAACATTTTCGTTAGTTGTTCCATTTATTTCTATTGTGTTTTACGTATTATTCTAAACTGCTATTTAATAACCACTTTCAGTATATGAAAGACAATGAGAACTATATAAGACACATCCATTTTCTTTTACTGTGAGAATATTTTCATTATGAACTTTTACAGTACTATGTACTGAAAAAACATGATTTTGAAAATAGGCTAAACGGTTATCTGGATGATGATGATGAATAAAAGTGGAACCCAGAATGAGCATTTCGTCCTATTTAGGACCCATCGACTAGATATGCCTGCATCACCAGCGAATGATGACTGTGACTGAAACTAAACAGACATCGTTTCAAAATGCCAAAGCGTTATCTACTAGCTTAATGAGCAGCGTAAATCACCTCTTGCGTAATAGATATCAATTGTTATTTGCGTCAGTTAGTTTCGATTCTCAGTGGAAACACCCTCACTCACTGGAGATGCTGGTCAATTCTACTGACGAGTCCTATGTAAGATGGAATGTACACCATGGATTTCAAAGCTCATTACCATCGTTTTAATTTTTAGACGCAGTCAAAGCGTCAGTACTAAGAGTTGACATGCCAACAAAGACCGAGAAATAGAAACTAACTTAAACAAAGTTTAACAGGTGGTCACATAGAAATGCCTACTACTCAGATTATCTCACATTATTACTTTCAAATTTCGTTGCATTTTATCCTGGTTGTCGATTTCATTATCTGTGTTCATAAGGCGCGTTTCAAGTGCTAAAATTGAATTACACATGTTAATGTTTATCCGTAAAATATAAGCTTTTCAATTTTCAATATATTGGCAGTGAATACAACAGCAGTAGAACATAAAATACTTTTCCACTTGACTATTTAGTGGTTTTTATGCACAATTATGATATTTAACTTTATTCAATTTCTTTTTTTTATAATTTCAGTTCTGTAACACATGAACCAGATAGTTTCATTTACTTCTTTGTTGAGAAGTATGCTGTATTACTCTACAAATCAGGATAAAAATAGGCAGCCTTCACACTGTCAAAAATGAGAAAACGATGGTGTGCTGATTTCTTCGTTGAATTTCTGATAATTATGCGGATGGAATACCTGTTATTATATACGTATTCAAATTCCATCTTTTAAATAATGCCATAATTTTTTTTGTTATAAAACTACAGCTAATTTGACTGCTTTAAAGCTTTGCTTTTATTCGTATTCAGATATTATTTGTATTAAAAATAAACTTGTGAATAAATCTACTATATTTTGAGTGTACTTCAGTATTATCTCTTGAATTTATCAAAGTTCGTTTCACATGGTAATTATTTAATAATATTTTAAACCACATAGCTTGTTTTAATAATCTAAGCGATGAATAAACGCATCTAATTCTAATATCAGTTAAACATTCGAAAGACGAAAATATTGACAGAAAACACATTATTGTGTTTCATTGTGTACACTAAAGGCGATAATATTGATTCGCATGTATCCATGGTTTGATAGTAGAATGCTCACCAGACATGTAGAAGGTTCGGTTTCAGTTCACAGCCGCCTTGCTCCTAAACTTTACTGTTTCCTAACCTGTAGTAAGCCCGGGAAAAATGAAAAGCTAGGTGCGAGGCTGGAAACCCCACTTTGTAAAAACGACACGACTGATGATGGAACCTCGAAAGCTTGAAGCCCATTGTTCAACTCAGAAGTCAAGGAATTAAAAATAGTTCGACTACATTGCAAACTAGAACTAGTCAAACTTAATTGCTCTGGTGATTTGCTAATAAGTGCCAAAGAAAAAACTGTTTATGAGTCTGGCATTGAAAGGTGACACCATTTCGGAATTGATTAAAAATCGTTTATCTAAATGTATTAAACGCACTTTCCTTGCAGCTGACTTGCAAATAATTTTTACCAGTCGAAATATGATTAGACAATGCGTCAAGGATAGATTACCGCTTTTGTCCACATCTATGTGTATTTACTCTTTTGCCTGCTCTTGTGGAGCTGTTTATATTGGACGTTGAAAGCGTAATCTCCGAAAACGTGTAGCTGATCACTATCCAGTTTGGTTAATGAAAGGCGAACGTAGAACTGCAAAGTCGTCTATTTGTGATCACCTGTTAGAGTCAGGTCATTTAGCCCCACGTGATTCATCTTTCAAAGTTATCTTCTTGGCAAAATCGAATCGATCCAAAAGTTTACGTTTTCTTCACTTATGCATAGTCGAAGCTTTAGCTATACATGAACAGAAACCTAAATTATGTGTTCAAAAACGTTTTGTCAAACCCCTTTCTTTACCTTGGTCATAGTAATGTTCTTTCTAGTTTTTACTTTATTTTATTTTACCACTTGAATTCTTTCCACTTCACTTCACATCTTCATTCTTATCGTAATCGTACTCCTAATTTTTTTTAAATTTTTAGACAACACTTGACATTTTTAAAACATTTTTGATTTCAATTCACCTATAAAACAATCATTAATAATTTTGTAATTTATCCACTTCAAGTCTACCCCTTATAACATTTTAATTATCGTAATTCTTATCAGATATATGTTTATTGACTGAGCAATTATTTAGTGCCACTTAATAATCTTTTCTGTAATAATATTAATTATGTTATAAATGTCTGAGAAAGGCCTCAGGTTTCTAAACTTTATCTTAGGGCAATATATATACATTTCCTCAGTGTTGGCCCATCACTTAACTATGATTCTAGGGAATATTGTACCCTACTGTGTCGAAAGCTGTTGGTTGTATCTCAAACTACTGCTGCCATTTCGTGTCAAGACTTTGTCAAAACCCACCCACATCAAGTTTATAACTTGATTCTTGAAGTAACTGGTGCAAAACTACTGCTCACTTTCATTCAGTGAGTAGTAGAAGGGGTAGCCTAATGAGAATACCTGCATTTTGACTTCGTGTAAGCGCAACTTCCACACTGGAAAAATTCATGTTTTTTTCTTCATCACTTGAATTAACAGTAAAACCAAATTAACATTGGAAACATTATCGACGTTTCAAAATCGCTGTATTAAAGTTGCAAACTGTAGTCTTTTTTTCGTTTTACTTATTTATGAACAACATCTACAAACAATTAAACAGTCTAGAGCAAACTTAAAAAGATGCACATGATCGCTTCTAACATGTGCCAGAATAAGTGGGTGGTGTAAAGTGAAGCCAATTTTGTATCTCATATCTATGATGCATGAAAGATACAGCTTGGTATCAATCGTTGCATACCATAGACAAAATTATGACACTATGGAATGTACAAAAATCAATTGTTTCAAATGTAAATTACCTTATTTACATGAAACAAAAATCTGTAATAATTTCACGTCATAAGACTTAATGATTTTGTGCATTAGAATTATAGAAATGAATTTGTTGAAAATTAATGATTTATGGTCGCATATCTCGAAGTCATAAGCTTCATAATTACGTTCAGTCCTTAAACATTATTTTGAAAAGCATAGAAATGACACATCTCCCAGCTCAGTGGAAGCACTGCAAAAGACAACAAGACAAAGATCTAGTACTATCAGGTTTCCCAGTGGTTCTCTAACCGATGTCAGTTCATGTTAAAATCCTGAAACTAATCGACTCTCTGCAAACCAAGACAATAATCTGTTAGATTTTATACGAAGTGTTTATAAGTAAAACATGGTTCTTTTTCAAGCAATGTTTCCTCTCAATGATCTTGATGAAAGCAAGAAGAACTAAATTTTTAGATACAGTGAGCACACTGCTTCAGCAGCTAACAACCTAAAATATTTATAGTTTTAATATAGGGAGAATATACGCTTTTATGTTTAACAGGATTAAGTAAACCCATTAGAAGGAAATGCTAACAGGGACTGACAAATCCACTATTCTTGACAGCAGGAGAACTTTCTCTGAAGATTGACTTAATCGTGAATCTTTCTTTCTTGACAAGTCTGCGTGCGTCGGTGGCACAGTGGTTAGGACTCTCGCCGACCATGCACATGGTCCGGGGTTCGATCCCCTGCCGGCGCACACCCGATATCTATTGTCGGCCCGAATTTGGGCTACCGATATCCATGCTGAAAATTCCATACTTGTACTCATAATACGGTGTGGAATCAAGCTGTAAATAAAGAATAAAAAAAAATAAAAAATAAAGTATAGGAATAATTATCCAAAATAATTTATAAGTCTGTATGGAATAAATTACAATACTCCAAAAGATGTCACATCAGACCAGTGAAAATCCAATTTTAAATCAATTGATTTCCAAAGGCAATAACATCCTCAAGCAAATGAATTAGTTGATAGGATTCGCTCCCGTTAGATATTGTTGAGTTATTGAGCTTACTGCTGCATGAAGCACTAATTTTTGCCTTTAGGAGATGAGAATGAATAGGCAGCTTTCATAAATCATCTCCGATGGAGTTCGCGATTCAACATGTAAACATCAAATCATGTAATTATGAAGGAGATAAAAATAGGCATCCAGCTGATTCTCCAAACCTTTTACTAATGGTCTCAGGCACAAAGATTTACAATCCTTTTCAGCGGAATTCATTGGCGTTTAGCTGATTCACAAGACAAAGCGGTTATATCAACCGTCTTTAAAATTATTCATAGGATAAGGAATACATATCTGATTCATTTCGCTGGACTAACTGTTGTTAAATGAACGAAATGTATTATTTACATTAAAATAATTTTCATGCTTCGAAGAAGATTATTCTCTGTAATATGCTTCATTGAATATATCTTTCTCTCACTCTCTGGTTCAATGATTTTTGAGCGAAAAAATCATCATCAAAATATGTTGACACCTCATTGAGTTATTATGCTTTCAATCAAACCCCTGCAAACAAGTACTTGAACATCAATGAGATGCTCACCAGCGACTGACCCTATTCAGGTAGGTAGTTACCTGGCGTTCTAGTGGAAAGCCATGACCAGTAGAGTGCAGCAGGTCGGGTGTGAGGACAATTACTCACCAAAAACATTGACTAAAAGTCGCGCTACATCGTGAATTGGCAGAAGTTAGAATTCATGGGCTGGCCATTGGATTAGGTCGCAGTGGCTTAATTGTCTACGAGCTCGCCTTGTTACCAAGATGGTCCCGGGTTTGAATTCCGCGCACTAATGAAGAGTCCCAGACTAGGACGAAACAGTTGTCCAGTACTCGTTGGTGGTTTTCCAGTGGTTCTCTAACTGATGTCAGCTCATGATGAAATCCTGTAACAAATCAGTCAAATCCCTACAAACCAATACTTCATTATTATGCTTTCAGTTAGACTGGAATCTAGAACTCACCATTTCAAACCATAAGTCATTGTCAGGTAGAATACTGACCCATTGGAAAACGGAAACCACCTCGTGTATTTTGTCGCTAGCCATCAGTTATCACATAACATCAAGTACTGGTGAAACGCACCATCAAGAAACCCTCTCAGTATGTCAGTACTGCATCGGAATAGAATCACTTAGGTTCTTCATTAAATAAACATCAGGAAATTAGGAAAGGTCATTATTAGATCTCTATGCTTCACAATAAACTTTGTAGTGAATTTGCAGACACTTCAGTGATGATGTACTTGAAATGCAGTCTTACCATTGCCTATATATTTGCATTTCCCTATTACAAAAAAATCAACTTAAGATGTGCAGTAATACAGTAGGCATTGTTTTCAGATGGGTCAGTTTCAAAAAGGTGGACAGTAGTATGAATGTAAGAGCGAAATATCCTTTGTTTGTGACTATAAGTCAGTATATAAGTGGAAACTACAATACACGTTGTTCACTAAGAAACTGTTTCTTTAAAATTACAAAGAGAACGTTAAGATTTAAAAACGGATATATGCGTTTCAAAAATGTAGCAGTTTTCAAATTATGACCAATTTTTATTTTCTATCCCAACTCACACACTGTATTTCCTCACCTATGAATCCAATTTCTAGTTATCTAAAAGACGTTTTGATAGGGCTTTGAATACATATGCAATGTAGATCCTCCAGAGTTCGATTTCCACAAAATAGAC